TATTTTTTGTTTTGTTTTGTTTTGTTTTTGTCTTTTTCCGTGTCCGGCAACGGATTGCAACCCTCAGTGTTGCCCCCGCACCGGACCGGGACCGGAAACAGGATCGCAACCCTCGGTGTTGCTCCCGCGCCTCGCTCAGCCAGTGAGCGGGACCGGTCTGTATGTGGGATCCGAACCCTTGGGCGGGAGCGCCGCCACGCTTCCCAAGCGGCGCACTATCCAGTGCGCCACCGGGCCAGCCCAAGTGCTTACATTTAAAAAGTAGAAAGATTTCAAATAAACTACCTAATGTTGTACCTCAAAAAACTAGAAAAACAAGAACAATCCATTCCCCAAATTATTATAAGGAAAAAAATAATAAAGATCAAAGCAGAACTAAATAAAATAGAGACCAAAAAAAATACAAAAGATGAAATAAACAAGTTTGGCTTTTTGAAAAGATGAACAAAATTGACAAACCATTAGCTAGACTAAGAAAAAAAGAGAGACGTCCCAAATAAAGAAAATCAGAACTGAAAAATGAAAAATACAACTGATTCCACAGAAATACAAAGAAACATTAGAGACTTTTATGAACAACTATACACCAACAAATTGGAAACCCTAGAAGAAATAAATAAATTTCTATACACATACACCCTACCAAGACTGAACCAAGAAGAAATAGAAAACCTGAACATACCAATAACAATTAACAAGATTGAATCAGTAATCAACATCTGCCCAAAAAAAAAGCAGCCCAGGACCAACATTCACTGCTGGATTCCACTAAACTTTTAAAAAACATTTAATACCAATTATTCTTAAACTATTTCAAAAATCAAAGCAGAGGGAATTCTTCCAAACTTACTACTCTGTGAGGCCAGCATCACTATGATACCAAAACCTGGCAAGAACACAACACAAAAGAAAACTACAGACCAATATCCCTGATGAAAACACATACAAAAATTCTCAATAAAATACTAGACAAACCAAATTCAACAGCACATCAAAAAAATTATACACCATGATCAAGTGGGATTTATCCCAGGGATGCAAGGATGGTTCATCATAAGCAAATCAATAAATGTGATACATCACATCAAAAAAATGAAGGAGAAAAACCATATGATCATTTCAATAGATGCGGAAAAAGAATGTGATAAAATCCAACATCTCATTCATGATAAAAATTCTCAACAGATTAGGTTAGAAATTATCTCAAAATAATAAAGGTCATATGTGACAAAACCACAGCTAACATCATAATGAATGGGGAAAAGTCAAAAACTTTTCCTCAAAGAACAGGAACAAACAAAGAGCCCACTTGCACCACTTTTATTTAACATAGTACTGGAAGTTCTAGCCAGAGCAATGAGACAAGAGAAAGAAAGAAATGGCACCAACACTGCAAAAGAAGTCAAACTGCCTGTCTGCAGACGACATGATCTTAAATAGAGAAAAACCTAAAGACTCCACCAAAAAACTCTTAGAACTGATAAACAAATTCAATAAAGTTACGGAATACAAAAACATACAAAAATCAGTAGCATTTCTATACACCAACAATGACCTAGCTAAAAAAATAAGTCAAGAAAGCGACCCCATTTACAATAGCTACCAAAAAAAATTAAAACTTAAGAATAAATTTAAACAAGGAGGTGAAAGATCTCTACAATGAAGAGTACCAAACAATGATGAAGGAAATTAAAGAGGACACAAAAAAATGGACATCCCATGTTCATGGATTGGAA